ATTCGGCCAATCACAATGCATTGGATAGCTGGCCAATCAGAGCACACCTCGCTTTTTTAGAACGATGAGCTTTGTAAAAATCGACGTGTTTCAGAAAGGCGGGGCATAGTGGAGAAACAATAATGTACAGTATGTGGAAAATAATGTGTTTTTTGAACCTTAAACCGCATAAACACATTGCATTACACCAAATACACAAAATAATGTTCTTTTTAGCAACGTCATATGACCCCTTTAACAGGTGAAGTTGTCAACTTGTTTATAGCTAACTATTTAAATAATAACATCCAGATTAATGGTGAAAACATTTTAAGGCAGGGGTGGGCAAATCTGGCAGTTGGGGGTACATTCACACTACAACGATTGTACTAAAAATGCATTTTTTTGTGTTTTGTGTACAGAATGATTCCCATTCACATGGACCTATGAAAACGACTAAAAAATGCTGTATTATGCACATCAGACCAGTAGTTGGCGATGTCACTTTGTAAAGAAACACTACGCATATATGCATTCCTACAGACTGAACATGTAATATGCATGCAAATGACGTCACCATTTACACAAATTTATGTTTTTGTAGTTTACATGAGATAATGGTTTCATTTTCAAAAACTTGCACTTTGAAACCCGTTTTCAAAAGTTTGCATTTTCAGGCCCCCAAAACACAAAACACATGTCTCTGTGTAAATGAACCGCCAAAACACATTTTTGGTTTTAGTTGACAAGTTTTGTTTTTAGTTGGAAATGGAGTTGCGTAAACACCCGCTAGAATAAACCCCTAAGATAGGATCTCAACAGGACAGAGATGCACAGCCCTTTTTTAAGGTAACTCTATTATATATAGCATGTTACGTACAATGAAAATACGTGCAAAAATGCTTCTAGCCTTAGGAGTATGGTTTTCATCTAGTCAACTAAACAGAATCTAATACTGACCCTGGCTTTAGTATAACACGTGTGAATCCTTACCCATGGCTGTGTCATATGAGTTGGGGAAGCTCTTGTCCGTCCTCTGTCGCATGAACACCCAGGTGTTATTGACGAACGTGCACTCAATTATTTTATTATCATAATGCTTCAGGTCTCTTGTTATCTGGAGTGAAAAAGAATAATGGGGCATCAAGCACGAGCATGAATTTAGAGAGAGAAATCACAGTTGCATCATTCAAACCAAACAGCGTTCTTGCAAACGTGTACAAACCATTTTGTTGAGGTTTTTTTTATTGTATTAGTATTTTGGGGATTTTTCATGTCATTTTATTTATAATGAATGTAGTCAGATGAAGAAAACAGATCAATATATCAGCAAAGCTGATTAAGATCGCGTAGTCCAAAAAACCATCAATTAACACGTGTGTCGAATCCTGCTCCTGCAGAGTTTAGCTCCAACCCCAGTTAAACACACATGAATCAGCTAATCAAGGTCTTCAGGGTTACTAGAATCTTTCAGGCGGTTTAAGTTTGAGCTAAACTCTGCAGGACATTGGTCCTCCATGAGCAGGTTTGGACATCCCTGCATTAACAGAAGATTTCATTCCTTCTTGTATCATTACAAAATCTTCTGACAGCTTTGTCAGCCTGGTTTTTGCAAGTTTTGAGTTAAACTTTTGTGTATGCTTCTTTTGTCGTCATTAAATTGTATTAGGTATTTAAAAAACATTTTTTTTTGACCACAACAGGAAATTATGCAGGATCAGTTTCGGGGCATGGATACGAACCAAAATCTCTCAGTTAAATGGGAGGGAGTGAGCTGGCAGTAAAGCCGCCCCCTTCTGGGCCTATTGGCATGATGGGATGAATAAATACCCTCACCATCCAACAGTGAAGGGCATCTGTGAGCACAGAGGGGAAGCTGAACATTTCAGGACTGACATACACACACAGCAATATTCCAAGGATTAATTAACCTTTGGTGGTACGGTACCTTTCCTCGCAAAAATACAACCATCCACACCAGAGCGTCTATACACATACAGTCTGGCTGAAGCTGAGAGAACGCAAACACCGACCACTTAACAGACTCCGGCAGATTAGAACACAGCCAAATATAATAGAGGCGGTAGGCCAAAGATTCTGCGCACACGCTTTTCACACCCCACACAACCACATACGCACGACCGTGGCAGAGATCCAGGGATGTTGTTCGGCTTTCGTCTGGCACGGTACATGATGCTCCTGTTAGTTTTGGATCGGACCATCATGACACTCCGTTCACCCTCTTGAAGTCCTGGCAGCCATTTACAAACACCACACGGCGCCTAAAGCAGCCAAATCCACTCCATTACAGCTAAAGCCTGCCAAACACCTTCAGTTTGTAATGATAATACGGCAGTCGGCAATAAAAAAGTAAATCAATTTCATGAAAGTAACAGTCAGGGGATAGCAGTCCCTCCAAACAAATTTTGGCAAATAATCATTGCATTTTAAGACTGCTAAGAAAACACTGTAAGCAGACACAAAATGGTTGCATTGACAACACACAAACGCCAAGTGACAGCCCTACTATGGCTACTGCCTATCTACCATCATGTGCCTTTCAGCAAATCAGGCGTGACTATCATGTAATTAATATTCATGAGTCAAGCATTTTGAGATGATTTATACACCCCGTTTAAACAAAATCAACAACTGCAACACGAATATTGAAAATTAACTCTATATAACAGGTTGATTTAGTTTTTCTGTCCCACTCAGATGAAAGCGCTCTGTCTTGGTGAAATGGAATGATTTGGGAAGCCCTATATCAGACATGACTTGGACTCGTGAACAAAAGTCTCTATGTATAACAAGGAGAAATGGCTGTTTTCTTGAAATTCTGTTCCACAATTCGGATAAGGAGTCTTTTGTGCACTTTTTTTTCTTGCGTGATTCAGTGGCGAGGCCAGAAATCCCCAAGAGGGTGGGACCTTAGTGAAATGGAGTGGACCTCTATTCTGTGCCCATTCTCAAATTTCATTATTGACTTCAAATAATGACTATTTCTTTAGCATTTCTAAACAACAGTTGCTTGTAGTATACAGCACAATGTACGGTACAAATTCACTTTAGTGAAAGTGAAAAAAGTGACGCGACGTGGCCAAGTATGGTGACCCATACTCGGAATTAGTGCTCTGCATTTATCCCATCCAAAGTGCACACACACAGCAGTGAACACACACACAGTTCGACTTTTTAATATGTAATAGTGCAGTGCTGGAGTTTTGCATTTTGCATTGCGGCATGAAAAAGTTATGCCAACTGCTTTACAGTGTTTTCCTGTTAATTGTGTTATTAACACTGGTGATATGTTTTGTTGCCCCTTTCAATTATGTAAAACAAAAAATTATGTCAACACACTGAAAATTATACATACAAAACCATTTATTTTTCCAAGAAACAGCGCAACATTTTGACCACTCAGGTCTTCGTCAGGCACCTGACAGGTCGAAACGTTGTGCTGTTTCTTGGAAATAATAATAATTCCTGTGCACCTTTTTATCCATCTTTTGCAAAGAATAGAGGCTGCGTTGGAGGGTTTTGATAGTATTTTGGGCGCTGGGTCATATCGCTATAAACCACACAACTATACAATTTGCATAAAGAGAAAGCTGAAAACCATCAGAAGTGCAAAAAGAAAAAGATTGATTACATGGAGATAGATGACATGTATAGCATGCGGTAAGGAACATTTTTCTGTTTATGATATATCATACAGCTAGACCTACAACGATAAGACATTTCCAAGATTTCGAGTAAAATCACAGACTTTGCTTGTCCCATGCTAATGCACCACACAAAATTCAGATGTGGGGGGTTTTCACATGAGGTCCCCAGATAATACTAATCCCGTGCGAATAGGGCTATAGAGTGTGTTGGATGTTAAAGATGCCACACGCTAACTTAACATACCTCACCATTCATTCTGCAGAGACTCTTTACCCAGATAAATATTCCATGAATAAAAAACAGAATATATGACTGATGAACCCTCAACTTTCCCACTGAGATATCAATTTATCGTATTTCACAGTGTTGCTGTGAGAGAAATAATCACTCTAAAAGTGAGACAAGACCACTCATTATGGAACAATTATCTGTCGAGAGCAATGGACAACCTAGTAAGCCAAAACTAATCGAAATTGTGGTCATGTTTACATGCGTGAAATGAAAATTAAATCAAATAAAATCGCATGCATGCACATTATGTGAGCTATGATTATTCTTCAATTGTGTTTAATTTCCAGCCATTAGTACATTCCTGCATCTTGATTGATTGAGTGGAGCAGTGGCTCGTACAATCCACTGCAGCACAATGCCAACAACTGCTTTCCTGTCCTCGTCTATAAAAACTCCTTGTCCACATTTATTTGCTAAATAAACCGAATAAGTTAATAAACATTAAATGAAGGCATAGACATAGTCAGTACAGTAGCATGTCATACGTGGTTTTGAGTGAAAGAAAACAATAACCAGCTACCATAGTTACCCATTAATTTTCTACCGAGTGTGCATTTCAGAAAACTAGCCTAAATGTTGTTTAGAGGGTTTCTTGCCAACTAAAGAAAAAAAGCTATTTCCAAAAAATAAATCAGACTTGGATTCATGACAAAGCAGATTTGTAAACACAGACAGTAACTCCAAACGGCACGTTAGCCCAACAAAATAGTGCTCTTCATGTGAAGTGTATGTGAGACTTAACGCACAATTGATTCCAATAGAGCTTGCATTAACATGCTGCTAAGATAATAACTCTGTATTAAAAATAAAAAGAATCCACAACATTTCTGAACTAATGTATTTATAATCAGTGTTTATCTCACTCCATCTTCTATCTTTTTGTTTATTTATTTATTATTATTATTATTTTATTCAGGGACAATATATATTAATATTACAGAATGAATGTAAAATGTGCCAGATTTAGCCAGGATAATTAACCAAGGTAATCTGTAGTTGATGTAAAAAGAAAAAAGTTTTCAATATATAAATACAAAATTATTACGCTAAAATCCCTATAAATATTCATATTCAATTTTGATTTGACAACCAAATGTTTTCATTTCTAGAGAAACCACAATGACTGTTTTTTTGTTTTTAATTCTGTTAGGGTCTATTCCAGTCATTGCCTGGGTTCGTTACAATCGCCCCTTGTAGCAGCACTTGTGTACCTTCCTATTATTTGATTTATGAATATGGGTGGAACAAAACTTAAGAATCTTAAAAACAACACTAAATCAGCAAATTGAAAGTGTTTACATCCAGTGCAAATAAATAAATAAATAAATAAATACAAAAAAAAATAAAAACAATGGAAACTATTTGGCTTTGTGTCTAATACCTTGAGCCTTTTTGAACAGGCTTAGGAATAGACTTAAAGGTGCAGTAGGAGATCTTGGAAAATGCTAACTATAGCCTGATAGCACTGAAAGCGAACGTCCCACCCTCCCTGCAAATTGCCGTCCAAAGCCACGCCCCCTGAACGCATATACGCACACCAGACGACCAGAGACAACATTACTACAATACATCATGTGTCATTCACCGGTGAAAAAACTTTATAGCACAGTTAGTCAAAGTCAGGGGTGTGAAGTAACGAATTACAAATACTCACGTTACAGTAATTAAGTAGTTTTTATCAGTTATTGTACTTTTTTGAGTAGTTTAAAAATTGTGTACTTTTACTTTTACTTGAGTACATTTTAAGTGATGTATCGGTACTTTTACTCGGCTATTTTCCTCCGTTTGTGGTCGTTACATTCTTATTTTAATTTTATCCATCAACGTGATTGGATAGATAGTAATAGGTCTCGTAACTTTCGTCAAATCAAATTGTGCATAGAAAACGTTAACTGCCAACTGTTTCATGGCTGCTGGAAGTGCATTCTTCATGCATCAATTCTGTCGCATCTTCCTCTAACTTAATATGTTAAGGTAAATTTCGGATTTCTGCTTACTAAATGATTTGTATATAGGCTTGGCTATCCACACGACCTGAAATTTGGTGTGAGGTTGCGGGTATTGCATCATACAGTGTTAACTCCCGCAAGTATTTTTGCTGCTTCTCTTGATGCCCTTTCAAATGAAAAAGCTACTACAGTTGCCAGTTTCTTCAGT